TTTTTTTTTTTTAAATAAAATTACGTATTAAACTTATGAATTTTGTATTTTTATTTACGCTATTTGTAAAAATTGATAGGATTATAATTTATACGTAGCATAATAATGAGCCACCTAAAATAGTAATCAACTTGTGAAAAGAATAAGAATGTTAGAGATCCACTCAATGCTGGACATAACTCGAGTTCGACTCAAAATTTTAACAACTAAACCTTATGTATAAGAGTACTTTTTTTAAATCTAAATAGACAATTTTACTATGATGCTCTAATATTGGTAATTACTCAGACGAGCCTCTTAAAATGATGCAAGAGGCTCCTCTAGCTCGAGTTAAATTGAGCTCGAGTCGAGCATTGACTCAAACACTCCCGAGCCACTCGACTCAGTTGGCACCCTTCCCTATCTGTGACTACACTTTACCTCTTGCTAGCAGTAAAAAAATGCGTATGATCCATAAAACCCAAAATGTCCACTCTTATAAGAACACAAACAAATCAAAGAATGTGTGTATCAGAGATCATTGTGTTCATATCACCACCACTCAACAATGGTAGTACTTAGTAAAAACTAAAAACACTTCAACCCCAAGTGTTCTTCTAAGCTTCCAACATGATGACACCAGAAAAATGAAAGCCAAAAAAATATTAGAAAAAATGAAAAAAAGGGAAAACTCGTCCTATAATAATCAAGGAAACTGAAACGATCCTCCGATCTGATTCGTCCCGTCCGGCGGATTAATCGCCACCCACAAAAGCGAGATAATAATCGCAATAAGTCCCGACCAAACAAAAACGATAGTCGGAGTTCTCCCTCGTCTCCCCATCAGCCCCTTCGCAAACGGGTACAAATGAGCCAACACCCAAAAGCTAAAGAAAACTCCTCCCAACAAACGGCTCCACTGTGGTATCACGCTGTATATTGTTCGGCTCAGCCCCACAGCAATCGCTATCATGTTCACCATTATAATAACAATCGGCGGTATCATGAGTGAAGTCCACTTCACAATGTACAGATCAGCAAACTCGTCATCATCGTCATCACCTCCAGATTTCGAAGTCAGCGTGAAGGAGATTTCGACACCTGCCACGATTTTCAGCAGGCCTTGAAAAACTGCTGCTAAATGCGCACTCGTGCCTCCGATTAGCCAGAACTGCTCGTTTCTCCACCATTCCTCGAGCTCGATACCCGACCATTTGACCTCGAGGATTGCTAGAGCGCATAGAGTGACTGTAATGGTTAGTAGGTAGAACAAGAACGTGACGTTCAGTGTCTGCACGATGAACTGTCCGGAAAAAAGGGATAAAGCAGGGAGAAAACAGTAGACGATGAGAAAAACTGAGGTAAAAGGGTAAATCCCGACGTTTAAGTACGCGACTCGCTGAAGGACCTTCATGCGCGAGCTGGCGAGAAAAGCGTTGTTTCGGGAGAAAAAGATCTCGACCGAGCCTGTGGCCCACCGGAGCACCTGGTGGAGCCGGTCGGTTAGGTTGATGGGCGCTGTTCCTCGAAAAGCGTCCCGTTTGGTGACGCAGTAAACCGATCGCCAGCCGCGATTGTGCATTCGATAACCCGTGACGACATCTTCGGTAACCGACCCGTAAATCCACCCGACACGTTGACCCCACTCGGTTTTCTCCTCGTACCAACACGAAATGACGCTTATAGCCTCGGCCACGGTTGGAGCGTCGAGCGGGTCACGGGGGACGGTTAGGGCGCCCGGTGGGCGCCCGTTTTTCACGGATGGGTGGTCGGCGAGCGGGCGTCCCCCGAACTCAGCGACGGGGATCGAGTCGATGAGGAGGTTCGAGTTTCCGAACATTTTCGGGGCGACCGAGAGGTCGCCGGAGAACGAGAACTCGTCGTCATCCGAGATCCTCAACGCCTTATTCTCCTCCTCCGAGTTGCCAGCGGGCCCGGGCCCGGTTCGAGCTCTCCGGCGGCCGGAGAAGCACATGGAGAGAAAACCCGGGCTGTGTTCCTTGGAGCGGGGCGGGTCGAACCCGTAGAGAGCGACCCGGCGGAAGAGGCAGCCCGTTCCGACGTAAACCGGGCCTTGAAGCCCGTCGAGGGCCCGCATGTTGCCGTCGAAGAAGACGGTGTTTCGGTTGGCGTATCGGTCAGAAGGGTCGATTCCTTCGAAGCGTTGAGGGAATTGAACATAGCAAATACGGTCTCCACCACGGTCCATCATGAAGCACATGCCTTCGCGCATGGCTTGCGAGTTGTAGATGTAATGGTCACAATCGAGGTTGAGGATGAAAGGCCCATTTGACATGATGGCCGAGGCTCGGACGAGGGCATTCATGGCTCCGGCTTTCTTGTTGTGGTCGTAGCCCGAGCGCTTCTCGCGAGACACGTAAACGAGCATTGGTAAGCGAATGTCGACGCTCGTCAGGTCCATCGTGCGTGGTTCTTCAGACGAGCCGCCGCACAGGGGCTCGTCGCTTGGGGGCTTCAGCATTACCTGTTTATCAATTTACCAACAAAAAATTCAGTCTCAAATCAAAATCTAACTCAACCCAACTATCCTCAATATTATCAATATAATTAAATAATATCAAATAATCATCCTTACACGTCACATCAACTACCAACTTTAATTTACTATTAATCAACTACATAAGTTTAACTACCTATCTCATCCCACAATTTTTCTTCTACTTTTATATTAAATCAACTTTAATCATTTTATTTTAATATCATTTTAATATCCCTCTAAAAACTAACCAAACCAATTGTTTTCAAAATCCAGAAAAACCAGTTAATTTGTACATGAGTGTTTTTAAGGAAGTGGTTATTGAGACAAAAATTAAAAAAGTGGAATGCAGTTGAAATTTCCTATTTTACACAGCATATTTAGTTATTTACCTGTATTATTCCAGCATGATCGCCTTTCGAGTGATCGGCCGACGGACTCAACCAAGTCCCGGGCCAATGTGTCCCGTCAGCCATCCAAGTCGCCTTCGTAATCTTCACCGCCTCCATCGGCTCATCCTCTTTTATCTGCCGCCTTTGTTCCTTCATAGCTCTAAGCTCCTCTCTCGCATGGTACGCGTCTGACCGCCGTCTAATAGACTCGGGCAGCCCATTAATCCGAACCTTAAACTCATCATACTCTCTCTTCACCCGTCTCCTGTCCTTAACAAAATCTTTAAGAACCTTGTTCTTGTACGGGTCCTTCTTCAAATTAAAATAGCTCTCAGGATTCCTCGGCTCGATGCTGTGCTTGCGGCAGAACGGGACCCACAGGTTCGCGAAGCTCGCGGCCTCTGCCATGGCCTCAAATGTCAAAAGTGCCCCTCCATCATCAGAGACATAACAAGCTAGCTTCTCGACCGGATAATCGGCTGCTAATATGGAAAGTATTGTGTTGGCCGTGACGAGTGGGGGCTCCTTTTCGGGATCGGCAGTCGAGACAAACACGTCTATGCCCGGGAGATCGGATTTTCCGGAGGGGTTGTTTGGGGTTGGGGTCTCGAATTTTTCCTTGAGTACGTTGAGGTCAGTGGCACGGTTAACGGGGCAGAGTTTTGGGAGCTGATCGAGAATCCATGAGAATGTGAACCAAACTTCGCATACAACGGACATTCCCCACAGCCAAATGGCATCATTGTTTTTGTGCCGGATTCTCCATGTTAGGAAGAAGCCGAGGACCACCATTCGGACGACGATTAGAAGCCTGCAATTAAAGCAAACAAAAGATGATATACAGCATCGGCATGGGAATATTTCAATTGTGTCTTATATTTATCTCAATTTATTGTGTGTTCCAAGGATGTCTAAATACTAAAACTAGCCATGATGTTTTGGGTATCTACAAGAAGGTCCCCAGGGGCTTTATTCTGTAATAAGACAATTAGTCTCATCTCATCCATAAGCAAAAGCATTTCAGAGTCCAGTTCATGTATTTAAGAATGACACAAAGCTTAACGACGTCTTTTTTTCCAAAATTTCTAATATCCGGGATTCATTCAATAACTACCCCAAATATCCCGGATAGCTTTTATAATTAAACCGCATCTTGTAACAAGATAATTTGGAAAAAAATATAATGGAACCAAAACCAGAACACCCGAACGCTCCTCGAATGAATAATATCCTATTTCAACTTTTAGTTTAGACTGTACCGGTAAGGACTAATGATGGCTGCCGGAATCTTGAGTTTCCGAGTGAGCGGTCTCCATGGCTTGCTGATAAAGCCAGGCGACTCGTCATCAACATGACCACCACGACCATCATTATCCTCGTTATCATCCTTCTCCTTAGGCCAGATTGCATTCCCATAACCATAAGTCCCCTTTGTCTCGAAAAGCCACCGGTTGTGATCGAAATCCACTCCCGTCCCGCTCCTCATCAGCCCCGACTTGCTCGACCTCATTATCGACAGCCTCCTCTCGACCCTCGACGAACCCCCCTGTGGGCCCGGCAGCTGGGGCAAAGACGACCCAGCCCAGCCATCCATGACCTCGTTCGGGTCGGTTGTCTTGTACTCGTCCTTACATCCCGGGCAAATCCCATCGCCCGTTTTCAGCACATCAAGATAGCAATCCCGACAGATTTTGAAATCGCACTCGCACGGGAGAATATCATTCCCCCTCTCGTCACTCATCACCTTCCCATCACAGCCATTGACCGCGCAAGACGAGCCTTTGACTCCGGCCATCTGTGGGTGGAGAGGGGAGGAGCCAGAGTCGGTGACCCGGTCCATTAGGTGGGCCCGGGTCGTGGAGTTGAACCCGCCCGTGAAGAGGGAGGATGAGACATACTGTTCTTCTACCCGTTGGGCAACCGGGTCGTTGTTGTTGGGCTGGTTGTCGGGTGTCGGGGGAATGTGGACTGTGTAGTTGAGGTAGTCGGACGAGCTGAGTTCACTGTCGAGATCGTCTCGGGAGTAGTTGATGTAGCGGCCGGACGGAGTCCGGCGAGCAAAGGTGACGACGTGAGGGGGAAGGGGAGGCCGGCTGCCGGAGGGATTGGTCTCGGAGAGCGTGTCGGATGATATGGAGAGGTTAGATGGGGTGGCCTTG